TCGAGAAAGAGGAGGAGAGAGAGAGAGAGGAACAGAGAAGCGGCGACGGCGGCGATTCTTGATCGGCCGAGAGAAGAGGAGGTGGAGAGACTCCGACGAAGATGATGTTCGGTAGGATCAGAAGGGAGGAGGTCTTCTCCGGCAATGGCTGAACGTCGTGACCGCGATGCCCGCGGCGTATGAGCCGCTCTATCGCGAGGACGACGACGTTAACGCAGCTGTCCGCAACAGCCGGATCCACCGGGATCTACGCGCTCGTGATCGCGATCGTGGCGTGGTGGGCGGACGTGGTGTGTGAACGAGAATGAAGGGACGGTCCCTCGAGCCGCGAAACGAGGAGCCGCTGCGTTGTCGCGAGTGAGTCGCGAGCGGTATCGAGAAGTGTTCGATCGCGACGAGTGCCGGGAGAACGCACGTTTGTGAACTAAGAGACAGAAGGAGATAAAGAGAGGAAAAAGCAATTAGCCGGACTTGGTCGCATCGTAAACAGTCAGGAGCAAGAGCGAATGGACATTGGCGAGTGAGTGCCGCGAGCGATCTTCAGTGAGAGAAGTTTGCGTGATCGATCGCGGAATTTAAGTCGCGAGTGCGCTTTCGATGACACTTGAGATGATCGCTCGAAATGATCGTTGAGATCGCGATAATACCTCTACTTCCGCAGGAAGACTGGTGGTGAATAGTTGCGAAGCGATTCTCGCGAGAGGGTTGTCGAAAGGCGGAGACTAACTCGATCCTTTTGAGACAGTCAGTGAAAGTGCAAGCGAGAAGCACGCGCCATAAGTGGAAAAGGATCGATTGAGATCAGACCACTCGGCAATCGAACGAACGGCTATCGGTTTCTTTCCTATCAGTTTCCTTCCTTCTTCCGTTCTTCTTCGAGTTCTCACGATTGGGGACCAAACTGATCAACATTTGCGTCAATCGTTTTGGTGTTTTCGTTTAAGCTCTCGAAAGAGAGCATAGTCGATGTTGATCAGACTTAAGAAGATTCGTGCGACATGAGACATGAAGTGCAACGCGCTCATTGCGACCAGATGCGGATCAGCATCTCGGACCCGATCAGCCGCGACTCATTAACGATAGTAATCTTGATGGTACCGTGCGTGACCTTGAGCTCAGTGTACCTGGTGGTGAGACGCGCGTTGTAACACGCGTCCGAGTCGCGTGGAAAGCTCCTCGCTCTCGAAACAGCCCGATTCGGCACCACGCTCGGGGGTACATCGGAGGAAGGCAGAGGGGCGGCAGGAGGACGAGAGGACGGACGAGGAGGACGAGGAGAAAAAGGAGAAGGAAGAGGAGGAGGCGGGGGTGGAGGAGACGAGGGAGAGCAGACAGCGCCAAGGAGGAGGAAGCTTCTTCGGCGTGTCGGTGCGCGGTCTCGGACGAAGGGGGCGAGAAACGTACGTTTGTAATTCGGCGTGGCTGCCTTCGAGGATGAGCGACGGCGGTCATGCCGTGTAATTCGAAGGTGTATCACGCCACCGTCGCATCGTGCACGATCGTCCTCGTCGTCGCCGCCGCCTCCGTGGTGGTCGTCCGCACCGTCGTGGTCAAACTGTTGAAACACGGTAGAGTCGTGGCATCGCCGGAAAGATGAGCTCGATCGACTTCGACGAGGTGCTGGTACACGTGGGAGAGAAGGGCCGATATCAAAACATCATGTACTACTTGTTGTGCATACCCGCTACCCTGCCGGCCGCCTTCTTGGCGTTCTCGCAAGTAAGCACGTTGTCCGATGTCGCTTCAGAAGTGTGCCCTTATGGCACTAAGATAAAGTAATAACGGAATAAGTTTTGTTTTTAATCTATATAAACATAAATTTTTAAAAGCATATTTTTATTACAAAATCATGAATCACAAGATAAATAAAATAAAAGTATAGTATTTTTGTTGATAAATTGTAATATACGCTTAACATATACAGACTTCTCGCAGATCGATTGAAATTATTAACGAGATTACTGTTATAATATTTGAACGAAAATTTTATGACAATTCAAGTTTTAATTCGAAAAAAAATATATAAATCAAAGAAATAAATTTTCATTTATAACATATGAAAATATTGAGCATTCTTGCATAGTTTATTAAAAAATCAATTCTAAAGTAATGAAAGTTACAGTATTACAAGTGGTAAAAATAATGTACATGTCTGAATAATTTATCTTAATTAAAACTCGCGATTTCGAGATAGGTGTTCGTGAGTGCCTCGCCAGAGCACTGGTGTAGGATACCAGAATTGGAGAACCTGACGTCGGATCTGATGTCGTTGGAGCAGAGGAAGGCGCTCTCGTTACCCTACTCGGTCAAATCCGACGGCAAGAGGGTTTATTCAAAGTGTCAAATGTACGACGTGAATTACACGCAGATAATTAATTCGTGGCTCGAAGACGCCTATCTGCCCAACACCACCGACAGCTCGTCGTTGACCACCACGTCTTCATCGTTTCTTCCATCGACAACCCGATTACCAACGCCGCCCGTCAGTAGTCCCGATTGGCCAGTAGTCGGATGCCGATATGGATGGAACTACGACACCAAGGATTACGATAGCACCCTCGTGACCGAGGTAAACTCGACTTTCTCTCTTTCACCGAAAAAGACGCGTGCCGTTCGCCGGCGTGCTCAGACGGCTGTTTCCGTCATAATGAGGCACTTGAGGCACTCATGTTTTGTACTGATTGCGAGTGGGCAATGGCAGTTCTTGCGGATTGTTTGGACGATTTTCATGTAGAGGAATCCTGATTCTATTTTCTGAGAGTCTCTCTACTTGAGAAACACAAGTAATTATTTTTACGACAAATATACAAGTACCAAGTTTTTGATATTGAAGATAAATAAGAGTTTTTTTATATTTTTCTAATAAAATACCTTAATTAAAATGCAATTAGAATATATTTTGCACTCTTTGTTTTACTGCACATTTAACCGTCTAACGATGTTGTCTCTATTGTTATATGTGTTATTACGCAATATAACACGCCGTAAAAAATTGTAAATTGTTGTACATTGTGTCATTTGGCTTTACGGATCGAGTAGCTGCTTAATGTGTCTTTATTTCAGGTGTCATGAAAAATTTGCAGAATGAAACGTAATGGCATTGTTATTAGAAAAATAAAAATAATTATTAGTATCAATTAGATCGAAGCAGAATCGACATTTTTCTTTTCACAAATTTGCAAATGAAGAAAATAATGATTTTTATACACGAATAAATAATTTTAACATAAAATAAAATAGGCGTTAGTTATGAATTACTAAAACAAAAATATATCATATTTTTGACCAAGAAATTAAATTTATATTTATATTTTTATCAAAAATACGGAAATATATGTAAGAAATACAAATTATAATGATTATTTTATAATTAATTTTGTTTAGTTTACTGTTTTATATTTGTTAATTAAATCAAACATAACATGAGCAATCAATATGATTAGACTCTCTGAATTTTATTTACGGATCAAATATTATAAAAATGCCATTTGGTAGAAAAGATAAAAATTATTTAAGATAAGAATTATTTAAAGATAAAAATTATAGATATGAATATATAATTTTCTTAGTTCGTACATAGTAATGTGGAACATGTCTTGACGATTTGCTTAATCCTCCTACAACGCCCTTAATCGTCGCCGGCAAATTTCTTCCTCGCATAGCATCGGATTTCATCTACGTCGCCTTGGCCTTTGACTTTGTAGTCTCTCGGCAGTTGTGCATTAGTATCGTTGTAAACTTCTGCAGTCCCATTCGTGGAATGAAGTTACGTGTCTTCTTGCACGGACGATTTCGCTTTCCGTGAAGTATTTGCCGGCGATGACGAGAACGATTGGCGCGAACGGATTAAATTGTGCTGCGCGGATTACGCGTGATTAGGTCTGATTAAGCGCGATATCGTGGAACGAAATGGTCAAATGTTGAGACATAAAGTTCCCGCGTTTATCACACATCGCGATACGATTTCTATCGCCGTCTTATTAATGATTATTTGAACTGCCGTTGATACTTACTTTATATTTGCAATGAAAACATATAGAAGAAAATGGTACTTCCTTGCTACAAAAAATATATATATATATGATTTGAGTAAGAAAATTAGAAGACAATTACTTTAATCACAGACATTTTCTTAACATAAGAGATCAAGGAAAGGTAATTATTATGTTCAAGCAGTTATTCTAGATAATTTATTATATTTTTTGCCTTTGATCATTAACTGATTCAATAAATTTTTATTACTGTTTGCAAACATTTCCATGAAGAGCAAATTTCATAACGTGAGATGTTTTTCGTGATAACGCGTTTCTTGAACTTTTGTTGAATTCAAAAATTGTTTTACGGATATAAAAAAATTCAATATGAATGGAATATAGCTTATCTTTTAAGCCATATGTATGTTACTATCAATTTTAATCATACACGCTTACAATTTAATATTTCAATTTTGTGACGAAGTTTCTCAAGAAGTTTATATACGATAGTATATAAACGTTAAGTCTGCATCAAGTCAACACTACATATCGCATTTCCGAAAGAAGTGGCAATTTTCCACCATTTTACGTATTTGAATACTGAAGAAAACAAGTGGACCGACGGGTAAACCCCGCGATCACGTGGCAGCAGCCGTAAGTGTTCATTAAGACATTATTAAATTGTCACAATTAGACAACGCGGTGAGCTGCTGGCGTAATGGGAATCGCGATACACGGGGTCGAGGATCTAGACATATTTTTTGTTTGTCTTCATTTATTCTTTTGTCATTTATTCTATTGACTTTACCACTTTGCCTTTGAGTGGACCGTAATCTCATAGCAGGCATGTGAGACAATTAATTGATATATGCGATAATATGTGAAACACGGCGAGAAAATAATTTCGCAGAACATGTTGTAACATGCAGTCTCACAATGATGCAAACAGATGCAGATGTTGTCCAAACGCGAGAAGCGACGTTTTTCAGAAGAGAAAGTACGTTTACGTAGCGCAAAATTGTGGATCACGCATATTTATTTTTCATATCTAGTCATAAGCGTTAATAATCTGCGAATATTCGTTTGTGACGTTTGTATTTGATAAATCAGAATTACCCGTATACTCCTCGCGCGTTTCTCCAAATATCTGATAAGCACGATGTTAAGCCTGTCGGTGCTTCACGCGGTATCGCGTTTTACGTTCATTGTATATTTGCTCGCTGTGCCCTCCGATGTTTGCACGCCCGGTCGTTTTTATTCAGTACGATTCGCGATTACATGAATTACAGCCACTGCATTTCCGTCCTCTTTCAATTAATCATCCGCAAAATTTATTTAACCAACGTGAAATACGACAACAACCGAATTTACTTCCCTTTTGGGGATTTAATTTAATGCGATAAACGTGGGAAATAAATCTCGTTGATTTGTATACGCGTCACGTTTCGCTACACCATTATCGAATTAGCGAATTAAATTATTATTACTGGAATTAATGTACCTTCCACAGCTCCTGATTTTTTTTTTCGGGGTTATTGCATGAGGAATTGCTGTGAATTAATTGCGCTGCGGGCAACGTAAAAATCTGTATAACTTTGGATGGAACGACTGTGGTAATGGGTCCATCCATCAACATCACCGGCACGGTGAACGAGCTTCATCGCGCGTTCCCCGAAATTGCGGGAGGTGACGTAGTGCGTTTCGCATTGACGCGACGGATTTCTAAGATTTTGTCTAAGGGCCGATTCAGCGAGAATTCAGTTACGGGAATAGTCAACAGGTGAACAAGGTTGATGAGCGACCGAGTGACTGGCCGATAGGTTGCAGCTCTGGTGGCGTCAGCAATTGCCGACCAATTTACCTACCCCCGCATCCGGTCATGTGATATGTCACATCAAACGCCTCGCACAAACTGCCAGCTCTCTTCATGCAGAGGGTATATATTCCTATGTACTTAGTCGCTGCCGGATTCGACGTGACCAGCTTCCGTTTCTCTTTCTCTTCCCCGTCTCTCTCTTTCCCTTCTCTGTATTTTCGCAAATCGCTCATTTTCCGCGTTTTTACGCGCTCTTACACGCGGAATTGTTTTCATTACTCACTGTAAAATCTTCGAAATGTTCTTGTATTTTTAAAAATAGCTAAGATAATAACGATACGCAACGATCCTTTTTTTCTACTTCTAAAGAATTATTTGTTTTAGAAAATTAGAATTTTCTAATTTTATACAAGTGTGTTTGTTTAATTAATATCTTGCGGAACAGAAAGGCTGGAAATTATTCTTTTGAAACATTGGATCGACCTAGAGAAGAGTATTATTTTTTTCGCGAGCGAATGCGTGTCGACGAGACACGCTAGCAAATAAGTGTGTGGGCAGTCGCTCTTGTACACTTTACTTCCGATCCGATGATTTATTGTGCTTGATTTAGGAGCTTCGCTCTAATGACATCACGTCGCGCGAGACCAGGTCATTGTCTTTTCCGTGTCGACATGTGACAAGCAGCCTCGCCAAAGACGAATACACCGCATATCCGTTATTTCCTGCCCGGAAGTCTAATCTATCGCTAGCAAAGACAATTTATATCTATATTTTGTACTTTAAATGGTTAATTTATGTCTACAGTCTAGGTCTCTGTCGAACATCGTATAGCATTTGTGTAATTAGCTAAATTAATATAACCATGTAATTGGCTACAGCTAAATTAATTTAGCTTTCCGAAATTAAATTGGTTCGTATTACGTTTGTTTTCCTCTGACAAATCAGATGATTATTACGAGTGGCTAAAATTTGTCGAGTCCAAATTTGTCCTTATTAGAACAATTTTAGGTGTTGGCATTATTTGACGCAATCATTTCAGACGAGAATTTTACTGTATTCTTCTATAAATCTGAAAGCACTTTTAACTGATATTTGATCATTAATTGCAACATGAGAGCGTATGGAATCATTGTATTTCATTAAATGATTATTTCGTGCTTGTTCTATCGAAGATTTCTTAGAATAGCATCATTCTGAATATCACGCGGATCAACGAGCGGCTTAACGAACATATGAATATGCATAGACACGCGAGAGTATTTGAAAATTGAACTTTGTTTGAAAATTGTTGATTTTAGATTGACATTCAAACTAAATAAAAAAATTCGAGTTGTCCTGTCGTATTAATTGCCTCGTGTAAACGTGAAGCGTCTGCTTTAAATAGCGAGGACAATTCAAATGACAGCGATCGCAATTAGTAACGATCATGCGCAGCAAATTTGTTTGATTAATCGCTGCATAATAGATGAAAATTATATGTACCGAGAACATGTTTTAATTCACGCTATTCAGGCATGATTTTCTTGTGACGAAACGAGTGATGCATAAATGCTAAAAGGGGTGACCGAAGCGTTAGCGTTGCATACGATAGAAAGTGATAGCGATTAAGAACGGAAAACGGAAGGACAGGATTTGCCTCGATGGCTCTTTACGTCATGTGTCTGCGTAAATCCGGAGCGTGTAAATACGCGGCTCGCATACCCAAGCGCATAGATAAAACCGTGGCAATCCTAGATAAATATCGTATGGCGAATAAAAATTATCAAGCTTTGATGTTAGTTTTGAAAATAAAAAAAACATAGATTTAGAACCACGGATTGCGCGTTCAATTAGCGCTCATTAATTATCAATTTGTGAGAGATTGTGCAACCAATGCAAAATTTTAATATCATTTTTCTCTTATCCTCACAGATCGATACTTTACAATTTATTCAAATACATTGTTGTAATTCCAAGTGACAGAATTTAATTTCGATGATGAACCTACAAGCGACACAAACAATCGCGATAATGATCGGCACTGCGGTCATATCAATATTCATTTGGAAGTGTGTCAGGGTGACAAAATATACACGTGTTATTAGTGTCCTTATGGGCGCGTGCACTGCCCTTGACAATAACTCGATAACATCATCAGCAGGCGCACTCTCCTGTCTTTCCGCGCAATTTATCTTTTGCGCGTTTCGCGCAGACCTCGAAAGTCCGTGAGTGGCAATTTGCTTAAATCAAACTTCGTGTCCAAGCTATTAATACCCACCGGGAGACTTTATTTGTCGAGGCTAATAGGCACTCGATTAAGATTTTGTTTGTACAAATATAATGTGTTTAACATGGAACGTTACTTACTGGTGTTGCTTCTACTAATAACGTTTATTGCATTTTTAACGATACACCTCTCAAAAGCCCAGGTATATAAATGCAATCTCAATGCATTCTCGTTATTTATTAAAGAAAAATCTTTAAAGAGACCGCAAGATTTTTCTTCACTTATTCCTTCATTTTGATAGACATCGTACGATCCAACTTACGATTCATTCTTATAAAGTAAATTAAAAATATTTTTTTGTAGGGGGGTGAATGATTTCCCAAAATATGTATGCCTAATTTTTTAATTAGAATATTATTAAAATTTACTTGTGTATAAAACGTATACGCATCATCATTTATCATCATCATTTGTGTCGGATTTGCGCGAGATTGTGCTGAAGAAGAACGAAAGAGACAGAGAGCGGGGGCTTTAAAGGGCGCGAGAGGGGGCCGTGTTCCTCCTGTCAAACGAGGGTGATGGACACCTCTCACTGTGGGAAGCTCACCAATACACCTTGGCGTCCTTCGGGCGCGCTCGTACAGATACGCGTACGGATACGAGCGCGTATGAGTCGCGTACGAGTCGCGATTTCCATACGACACTCGCACACGCGAACACGCACGTGCCCCCACTCGCGATAAACAGCGAGCGATAAACGCGAGCGCGTTTACGTCGGTAGCCTCCTGCGTAAACGCAGCGAGATGAAACGCCCCCTTCCACCGTGCTACCGCTGGACCAGCGGGGGCACATCGCTCCTTCTCCCACAGCTTCCCTCCACCTCCCATTCGTCTCCGCGTGCGTGTGTCGGCGATGCTGAACCGACGACAAATGACGATCGGCCGAGAGACGCGTGTGTTCACACGTGTGCGAGCACGCACTTCGGTTCATCGTTAATGTCGGCGCACAGTTCCGCATGTATGCATTTTGCGAGTGCACAGGACACTTTATGACGTTTCCCGTTAAATCTCGGCACATTTTTGCGATGAATTTTGTGGCCGAGTATTTCTTGACGAAAATTTGGATAGGTGTATCCAGAAAAGGAAGAAAATTCAAGCTACCCCGAAAAAAAAGTTAAAGTATCGATATGATAATTATATTATTCAAAATCAGGAACGAGGAGATATTCTAAGCTCTAAAATATCTAAAAAGGCAATTCATTAACGCAAAAAATTGCTGTTTAACAGAATTGATAACCTACCCCCCCAAAAAAAATTTTGAATACCATGGATTGAACCATAAAATATTTGATATTTTAAATTAAAAGCTAAAAATTAAAATTATGTAATAAATTTGCTTCCATATATTTGTTCAGAATTTAAGTGTAATTTAATTTATAATAATAAATAATTCTACGATCTCATTTTTTAAATTTTATAAAAAAATTTTTGTGTTAACTTTCGATTTTTCTTAACGAAAATTTAATTGAGATTCTTTAAAGTTTTAATTAGTTAAGTATTTTTATAAAAGTATATTATAAAGTCTGCTAAAAGTATATTTGTATATCTGTAATTTTGTATTATTGAAACAAGTAGCTATATAGCACATAAATTCTTATGTTTGAGACAATGTCTAAGAATGTTTATTAACTTAAACGAGAGTTTACGCATTCTAGAATTACAACAGCTTATATTCTTATACCATGATGCAAACTTTATGAAACGTGTCAAGTTCTCGTAAGATCTCGGAATCCATTTATCAGAATCGCGGCGACCGCAATTGCATTTGTCATTCGCATTTACGAATATCCGCACACAGACTATATATCTATATAAAAAAAAAAAGATAGCAATTTAATCGGAATAATGACCTTCTTCAATCAATTCAATTACGATATCATTCATTGAAATTGACTGCGATTCTGAAATTGTCATGCGATTGATATTTCTAATCTCGTGAGAATTTTCCATTCTGTCTATACAATAATTTTATTCCTGCTCTTGATATTCATTAACAATTTAGTGCGCGTAGTTACACTTTCCAATTAAATAAACAAATTAAAAAAAATATTTAAGCATTCTTAATTAAATCATGTAATAAGATGTATATATATATATATATATATATATCTTACTAAAAAAGTTTTAGACATTACCTTTTTATTGTATAATTATTAATCTTAATTTAATGTATTGTAAATTTTTACATATTCTGTAGAGATAAAAAAAATAAAATAAGTAAGGTAGTTTAATGGCGTTCTACATCCACATAGCTAGATCTGGTATGTGACAACAGCTGGTGGCCTTCCACGTCGACAACGTTCTTTTACGTGGGCAGTCTCTTCGGTAACGTCGTGTTTGGTTGGATCGCCGATAAATGGGGTAGAAGAACGGCCTTTTTTGCCATTCTATTTCTCGAAGTGATATTTTCCATCGCCACGAGCTTTAGTCCAAACTACGTGATCTACACGGCGCTGAGGACCGTGAATGGTCTTTTTTTTCCTGCCATTTATCAGATACCTTTCATACTTGGTATGTTGGACACATGTAAATCTCGCAAGCGATTTAATTTTAAACAAAATTATAGTACAAAACAAAAGACTTCGAGGAAAACACTTGAATTTAACGAATACTCGAAGAAAAATTAATTAAAGATCAGAATGTCTTTTCCAATTATTATTACACAAATACGATCATATCAAGATCAGCGTTTGTAAAGTGCTTCTGCACTTAATAAATTTCGTTGCAGCACTTGAGCTAATGGGACCGAGATACCGAACATTCGCCGGGATGGTAATCTGCATGTTCTTTGCCACGGCGATGTCTCTCCTAGCGTTGTTGGTAAGTACTGCTTGTTTATAAAATATGAAGGAACAAAGTGGTACACGCACCAGTCAGTTTCGAGGCAAAATCTCAGCGACGCGAGTATCTCCAAGTTCGCATTATCGTATTATCGCATTATCCTGCGAGTTACAGCACGAGACAACTCGCAAATCTCGTACGCACAATGGATTCAACGCGAGGGTGTAACGCGGATCATTTTGCAAGCTATCCATCAGCGTGTATCATACGATGCGAGCGATATGCAAATACGAGTGCGAATAGCTCGTATTCGTGTATGCAAATATAATAGGAACATTTTGCATTCGGATTTTGTCTCCAAAGCGAATATGCGAAGAGTCCCTCAAATTTTAGCTTGACTTTGACAAAGAACTCGGAACACATAAAAATTTATTATAATATATAATAAAATACGGCACCAAATTTTTGAAAATCTTTTTTTGTAAAATATATAAATGTAATTATAATTATTTTCAATAAATATCTATAAATAAACATATTTATGGATTAAAAATTAGGAATTATTTGTAATTAATAAATGGTCGTTACATGCCGTTATTCTCTTTCTTTTGTTTTATTAGGGTTATTTGTTAAGACATTGGTACACCCTGTCGCTAGCCACTTCGGTACCTTTCATTCTTCTCTTCAGTTACTACTGGATCATTCCCGAGTCACCACGGTGGCTTCTTAGTAAAAATAGAATAGACGAAGCTGAAGTAATTGTCCAACATATGGCAAAAGTCAATGGCAAAACAGTGCCTTCGAACTTTCTCAGAAAAATGGAGGTAATTTCGTCTAATATTTAATCTTTAATTTTTCTTCTTAGTAATTTATAAATTAATACATTACGTTTTTATTCTGTACTACATTTAAGACGCATATGAAAGTATCAGCGCGTCATTTGCAGGTAGAAATATTAAAGAGACAAGGGGTATCGTGTAACGGTAGGAATTCCAATAACGCGGAGGGCGAGAACAGATCGCCGCCGTCATCCGCAACACCCATGGACCTAATTACAAATCCAAACATCAGGAAGAAGTTCTTCATCCTCGCTTTCGATTGGGTGGCGAACGCGGTGGTGTACAACGGTCTATCCTACAACACGACTAATCTAGGCGTCTCCGATTATCTAGCTTTCTTCATTGGTAAAAAATTTAGTTTTCTTTCTTCTAACTTGATAATTAATATAAATGTTGCATCATGATCTTATGTAATATATTTCTCATGATATTATATATTTCTACTGCATAATAGAACCTGAAACAATTGACTGCATTTTTTGTGGTTTTTTGCAGGAGGAATCGTGGAGATTCCATCGTACTTTCTTACGTGGTACGCAATGGACAGATTAGGCAGGCGATGGGTATTATGCGTCACCATGATGCTGGGCGGACTCGCTTGCGTGTCCTGTATGTTCGTGCCCGAAGGTAGCATTTCGTCAATTTATGCCTCATTCAAATATCTTTGATAATCATTTTATATACAAAAGTTAAATAACTGTATATTCTATTAGGAATTATTTTAAACATTTAAATTTAATTATTTATTCTATCATATTACATATGTAACGCCGGATATCATATCTTCAACACCGACAAGAGAAAGTGTAGGATGATCATCATCATTTACCACGTTGCTCATCTCCACATTATTCGATTATCTTCGCGGGATAAAATTGAATAAAAGTATTAAGCCGAATCGCATGCCTTTGCGTCATGGCGGCCTCAACGTCATTACCTTATTGAATTCGTCATGATATTGTCACACACGTTCAACGTGTGAGAGGCAATTACTGTTGCCGACGTCACGACGTTTATGAATAAACGTTCGACCTGCTTATAAATTAGTCACACCGCATGCATAGCTTCTCTCATCAGAAATCAACGACATTCATACAAATCTCAAATTTTCATTTTAAAAAAGTGGGATGCGAAAGAATTTAAGGAGAGGTAAATTAGCATAAGTAACAAATTAAAGACTTAAATTCCGCCCATGGACGTATCCATGATTGGCCTTTGTCGCAGCAGACGCGGTCTGGGTGACTGTAAGCCTGGCGATGATCGGAAAATTCGGCATCGCTGCGTCTTTCGCTGTCTTCTACGTCTTCGTCGGTGAGCTGCTGCCGACCGTATTAAGGTCTCAGGCGATGGGCATAGCTTCTTTCATCGCCGGCATCGGCCTCCTCACCTTCCCCTACATTGTTCATTTAGCAGTCTACTCGAGGGTTTTACCCCTAATCGTGATGGGATCGCTAAGCGTCGCCGGCGCTCTCACTTCTGTATTCCTGCCGGAAACGCTCAACATCCATCTACCGCAAACGATCGAGGAGGGTGAGCTCTTTGGGGCTGATTTCAAACTGTGGTCCTGTCCGACGATACCAAAGTTAGTGATCTTAATGACAAAAATTTTTACACGTTAGAAAACGAAAAATTTTTAAGAAAAAGAATTTTTTTTGGAGAACATTTTTGTATATTACAATTTACGTTTTATCGCTTACGTTTTCTCGATTTTCAAATATTTTTTCCAAATATTTTTTCCATTCTGTTTAGCTTTAAAATAATATTGATGATTATTGTTTTAATATTGACTTAATTTTGGTTTTAGGAAAGATAGCAAATCCGAGTCCGTGCCGTTGAGGTATTTGGTAAACGGCGGACCGGGTAATCGCTCGTCTACCTCGAAAGTCGCGTTGCAGGAAGGCGCGACTACGTCGGAGGGCGAGAAGCCAGCTGCCGTGCTGCCCTCGAAGGAAGAAGAGGCGAAGAACTTAAGCGTATCAAAGGCGGAGGAGCTGACGAATGTTGAGGTCGTTGAGCCAAAGACGGCCAGCGCAGTGGTAGAAGTGATCGTGTGCCGAAAGTCGCAACGAGACGAAACGGGATAATAGACAATCATATAATTAACTTCTTTACGACGTTGTATTATAATTACCAGTATAGACACGCATTGTATTTATTTTTCCATTTATTATAATGTACTTCCTTTGTAAAACCTGCCTGAGTTTGTCGCACTAGCACGATTCGATCCCTGTTTTTTTTTTCTGTGCTGCTGGAGAGTGCTTTCAACTCGTTAGGGTGTGTGCGTGTACATTGCGTGATTGATACGCGTATGAGTCGAGAATTAACATTCGGGATCTACAAGGACTCTAGAATGTAATACGCTATACTTTTTTATTTGTTCGGTTAAACGTCGATTTTACATTTGATCCTTACGTTATTAAGAAAATTTTGTTGTGATTTCAGTTAGCTTAAATAAAATAATCTTAGTATCGGATTATGAATCGTCTGAAAAACCTTCTATAATTAATATTTTATGGATATATTGAGAGCGAGAACAAGGATGTTGCCTTCATCCTTCATCGATTGTAATATTAAAATTATTGTTAAAATCAATATCGTGACGGAACAACAAGTAAAAAATTATGCAAGCGACTAGGCAGTCACCAAGGAGAACTCAACAGTCGCCTGTTTCTGTTTGAATGACAGGCAAGTCCGCAATATCCTCTTTTCCTGTCCTTAAATTTTGAAGATCCACATCCCCCACGATTATTTGAGTACTCATCATTGAATCTCGTGCGATTTTCTTATCCTAAAATTCTACATTATTCAATACAAAATGCGTGAGATTGTTCATATCCAAGCCGGCCAATGCGGCAATCAAATTGGCGCCAAGGTTAGTATCCCAAAAAAAAAAACGTAATATATCACAATGTCAATCTTGATTTAAAAGATTAGTTGATTTGTTATAATATCGCATTTATTGCATTTAAATATAACATTACGTTTTATATAAATATTCTTGACTTGTATAAAATTTAATTAATTTTTACAATAATCGCTGGCAGTTAGAAATTTTATTATAATCATTTTTCTTGATTAACAAGAATTTATATCTTCTTTTATATTTTCTTCTTTTATTAAGCTGATATTACTTCTTAAAATTAAATTTTTTAACCATTCTCAACCGTTCGTAGTTTTGGGAGGTGATTTCAGATGAACATGGTATCGATCCTACGGGCACTTATCATGGAGACTCGGATCTCCAGCTGGAACGGATCAATGTTTATTACAACGAGGCTTCTGGGCCGAAATACGTGCCGCGTGCCATCCTCGTCGATTTAGAACCTGGCACCATGGATTCTGTACGTTCGGGATCATTCGGGCAGATCTTCAGACCAGACAACTACGTCTTTGGTCAGAGCGGCGCTGGCAACAACTGGGCCAAGGGTCACTATACCGAGGGTGCCGAGCTGGTTGATTCGGTACTCGATGTAGTGAGAAAAGAAGCCGAAAGCTGCGACTGCTTGCAAGGATTTCAGCTCACGCACTCGTTGGGTGGTGGTACTGGATCCGGAATGGGCACTCTGCTCATCTCGAAGATACGAGAAGAGTATCCGGACAGGATAATGAGCACCTTCTCCGTGGTACCGTCTCCCAAAGTTTCTGATACCGTTGTGGAACCTTATAATGCTACTCTTTCGGTTCATCAATTGGTGGAGAACACCGATCAAGCATATTGCATCGATAATGAAGCGCTCTACGATATTTGCTTCCGTACATTGAAGCTGACTACTCCTACGTACGGTGATTTGAATCATCTCGTGTCAGCTACTATGTCTGGTGTAACAACTTGTCTAAGGTTTACGATACATAAATGAAGAGTATTAAACAAATTTGTTATTATAATAATAAAAATTATTAATTAAATATAAATATATAATACTTTAAACTATTATAGATTTCCAGGTCAGCTAAACGCAGACTTAAGAAAACTCGCGGTGAACATGGTGCCGTTTCCCCGTCTTCACTTCTTCATGCCAGGTTTCGCGCCCCTTACATCTCGAGGAAGCCAACAATATCGAGCTCTCACCGTGCCGGAGCTCACGCAGCAGATGTTCGATGCGAAGAACATGATGGCAGCCTGCGATCCACGCCATGGTCGTTATCTCACTGTGGCAGCCGTCTTCCGCGGCAGAATGTCAATGAAGGAGGTGGACGAGCAAATGCTCAACATTCAGAACAAGAATAGCACGTACTTCGTCGAGTGGATACCGAACAACGTGAAAACGGCGGTATGCGACATTCCGCCCCGCGGCCTCAAAATGTCCGCCACTTTCATCGGCAACTCCACAGCCATCCAGGAGCTGTTCAAGAGAATCTCTGAACAATTCACCGCGATGTTTAGGAGAAAGGCCTTTCTCCACTGGTACACTGGCGAGGGCATGGACGAATTGGAGTTCAATGAGGCGGAATCGAACATGAACGACTTAGTGTCGGAATATCAGCAGTATCAAGAAGCGTCGGCGGAGGACGATGAAGAAGTAGATGAAGAAGAAATGGAGAAATAGAGCAGAAAGGGATTTTTAAAACGGAGGATCGTGCATGCTTGCGAAATTTTTGATTATTCTTTTATACAGTTTTTTGTATTTTGTTATTTTTACTTTCTTTTATGAATAATTTATATATATATATATATATATATATTGTTTCTATACATTGAATTTTTAAGAGATTTTTTGGTCATTTGTATTTAGTGAAGTTTATAATAAATGATGAGTATTGAGGAAACTCTGGTCTTCCGACTGATATTTTTACAATGTCTTCTAAGCTATGGTGTACCTAAGAATTCCAGCTCATGCACTCATTGGATGATAGTATTGGATCCGGAATAGGCACTCTGCTCGTCTCGAAGATACGAGAAGAGTATCCGTACAGAATCACGAACATCTTCGTTGTGGTATCATCTCCAAAAGTTTCCGATGGACCGTCATGGAATCTTATAATGTGCTATTCTTTCGGTTCATCAATTGATAGAGAACGCCATGGCGTCGATCAAGCATATTGCATCAACAATGAAGCAAATATCGTAAAAAAACTTTATTGTCGTATTATAGTTTCCACGACGGTATTTTTAACCAAGTTCTTAATAATATCGGCATTGTATGTAACATTTATTATTATTATTAGAGTCGGATGATAAACATCCGACTCTAATAATAATGATAAATGTATTAGATATAATTATATATAATAAGATCTATTAATATTACAAATTATATACAATTATATCAAAATATTTATAACTTCATATCAAATTATATAAAATTATATTAAAATTTTTTCGGGTAAGAAATTTATATCTAATTATATTTTCATTTATATCAAAATATTTATAATATAAATATTTATAATAAATTATAATATTTATAATTTATATAAATA